AATAGATTGCAAAAGATTACCATAAGGTACGGGAATGTGTTCTCTCAGGATCTTGATCTCTTGCTTTTAACTAGATAACAACTTTTTTAAGCTTAACCCTGTGCATCCTAAGCACGCATATACGCGTACTTGATAGTCGTCCTCTTTGTACCACTTGTGACGTCACAATTTAAATGTCACCAAATATTCTTGGTAAGCAGATGGTAGAGATATATCTATCCGCACAACAGTCGGTTTTGGATATCGACGGCATTCTGACATAGCAAATTGAAAAACAACGTTATCAGTTTTGGTGCAAAACTGGTCGTAAAATGGCCTATTATACCTATAATTGATCAAGGTCCCATTTCCAGGCTTTGCCCATAATTAACACCCAACTTTTCACGGCAGCCAGAAAGCGCATGAAGCGCAAAGAGATTCGAGAGTAAAAAGGGCCGAGAAAAAGGTAAAGGAAGGGGTAAGAAGAAAATTCAGAGCGGGCGATCGCAAAAATAAGTCCAAAGTTTGGCTTATGCGCATGTATCAAATTAAAATATTCTACATTTTTGCAACTTATCTTCGGGAAAACTATCTTTTTAGTAAGAAAATAGCTTTTGCTGCAAAACTAAGGCTCATTATATTTGGTGTCATGACAGCCAAAAAACTGATTTAACGGTTAAAAACGGCATTTTTTTTCGTGAAAATTTCGGTTTTAATTAACAAATAAAGAAGTCTAAGCAGTGTATTACACTGTGATAAACCACAACGGGCGTTTGAGAACACGAGGGAAATGTGATATTTAGAAATTGTTTCAAATTGCACTCTCCTAAAGGCTCGTGCAGTTTTAAGAGAATTTTCAAATGTCACTCATAGTGCTAATCCTTAATTGCATTCACATTCATAAGATTACCTATACTTGTTGACATGAACTATTAATGAAAACTGAAACGCGATTGAAAATGAAATTTTGAATGTCAAGATGTTGACATGATATATTATCTTATTAGATGTTTTGGTGAGTAGTATCGCTGTATATTTTTACAAGTTGTGCCGTATTTTGAAGAGCCCGTCAAAATACAAACAACGAGTAAAAATATAAAGCGATACTACACACCAAAATAACTAGTAAGAGATTTATTATCGAACTGCTGTAGTCAATAAATTTATTATTGAAAGAGGGAGAGTGTGACAGTTTTGCGTGCGCGCGCCGTCCTGTCCGCCAAACAGGTTTTCTACTGCACAATATCGCTGTATATTTGTACTGTTATTTGGACGGTATTCGCTGCAGTTGGATAATAAAAGAGTAAAATCTACCTCAATACACAGCCACATGCTCAGATTATTAAGTTTCGTAAGTTATGCATCCTCTGGTATCATGGTATTGTAGTTA